AACAACGCTTGCACTGTGTTTCACTGTGTGAGTGAGGTTACCGGAAACCCAATGGGGTAATTGGATGTGCATCCCTAGTCTCCCAAATCCCCGAATTCTCCACAATCTTCAAATTCTCAATTCCCAAAAGGCCGGTAATGCACTTGTAACGCCTTGGTGTTTCGAATGTCCATGGGCGGCGCCTATTGCTTACCATCAGGTGATTCGTCTGCTCATTTACCAGCTTATATGATATAAAAAAAGTTTTTTTTTCTAACTATAAGTTAATTCAGCTTAATAGTTAATTGATGGCTACTGTTTCTGTACTGAATAAATCTCTGTTTCTTTACTTGCACACTTAATGATTTTGTTTATTTTATTATGAGCTATCTATAAAACATCATTAGCACCGCGAGTAAAAGTTTCAGTTGTTCATTTTACTTCAGTGATCCCAGACAGTCGTAAATAAAATATCAATAATAATATTTGTTTTATTAAGAATTGTGATTGGTCTGAGTTTGAGCTAACGTAAACAACTATTGAGTATCGTCTCTTACGTATTTTTAAGTTTTAGATGAGATTAAAAGTTTAAATTAATAACTAAACCGATTTTATGAACTAGTGTACTTGTATTTAAAATCTCACTGTCTTTAAATGTAGATACTAACCTAGCCCCCATAATAACAAATGAAAGTCATGAACAGAGCTAATAGAGCTATCTAACTAAACATACGTCTGGTCCTTATTGGTCGGTTGGTACATTTCCTATATATATTTGCCCGTCATCTTTTAGCCCTAACAGAATAAATTACATTGAGCTTCTGAAGCCTTCACATATGTTTCGTTGGCAACGCGTTCAGAGCTGGATGGAACAAATCCTGAAGAAACAGGTCGGGCTCGAGTTGGATAGAACAAAATCCGGGTCGGGCAAAGTACTACTGAGTTTTTGAAAAAAATCTTAGTAGTAGCACGGAGTTTTGAATTGTGCCCGGTATATGGCAATAGGTTCACACCCTATTACATGGGACTCATAACATAATTAGTGAAAAGTGGGTGTTACATTGTACAGTGGCATTAAGTGCTGTAATGTGCACCTCTACCTACCCCTTCGGAGATAAAAGGCGTGATGTTATGTTATATTTAGCAGTTCGATGTGTATATTCTACAAACCTATGGGTTTGAACGGACCATGGTCTGTAGACAATTCCATTCGGCAAACAACTGGAAAGTTCCCAGTGAAAGAGCAAGCAAACCTCACACGAAATATATACAGTAACAATAAACAACACAGTTATTTTCTGTTTGAACGCCATTACGTTTCGTATTGACATTAGTCGGAATAGTTTACAAACACGACACGAGTTAACTTGAGTGTGAAATACTCGTATGTACGTTGTGTAGTCCTAGTACAAACAGCGAGCGAATTGTGAACCGATAACATGTCACCATCGACTTCAGTATGGAAAATGAAATTGTTCTATCGTATATTTAACTAATGCTACGCCTTTTAATCCCTGAAGAGGCAGGCAACCATATAATGTAGCATAAAATTTTCCTTGCTATGTTATGGGTTCCGTATAACTCCCTAGGTGAGGCCATTGTATAAACTCTCAATACAAGATTCTTTAAAAAAGTGAAGGAATGTGAAATGAGAAATAAGAGTCGTGGTGGCCTGGAGGTTTAAGACGCCCACTTCTCATGCATGAGGGTGCGGGTTCGAAACCTACCAACGGCAAGTACCAATGTGACTTTTTCCGAGTTATATGTACTTTCTAAGATTATTTAGACACCACTGACAAACGGTGAAGGAAAACATCGTGAGGAAACCTGAACTTATAATTTCTAATTATAAGTTTGAAATCGCCAACCCGCATTGAGCAAGCGTGGTGATTAATGCTCTAACCTTCTCCGTGTGAGAAGAGGCTTTGCTCAGCAGTGGGCATTTATAAGCTGTTGATGATGATGATGATGAATGTGAAATGAAATGAAATACTCGGCTTTCGGTTTATTCGGCATAAGATATGCACGCCAGAAAAGACATATAAAAGTAATGTCATTATACTTTGCGTGATCTGTAACGGCAAACCCTTTGCCTTATTTATATCTTAAATCTATTTACTACCTTATAGGCCAAAAAATGTAAATAGATTTCTTAGTCATCATCATCATCATCAACAACAGCCGGAAGACGTCCACTGCTGGACAAAGGCCTCCCCCTTAGTCCTCCACGTCGAACGACAATTCGCCACCTGCGTCCACTGGCTCCTCATCACTTTGACTAAATATAATATTAGGTTGTATTGCCTCGTTGGCCGAATATTCGCAAGTGCGACTGCTGGACAGGGGTCTCGGGTTCGATTCCCGGGTAAGGCAAAGTATTACAGGGCTTTTAAAAAAAATCTCAGTTGTAGCACGGATTCTAGAATTGTGCTTACCCCCGATTACATAGAACTTATGACATAAATAGTGAAAAATGGGTGCTACAGTGGCATTAAATGCTGTAATGTATAAATGTGTAATGGATAAAAGGCGTGATGTTATGCAATGTAATATTAAGTGTTTCAATTTCAATATCCACGAAATTTAAACGGTCTATAAATAAATTAATTCAGAATTTGAACTGAATTCTGGATTCGGTAAATTCAATTGAAACTAAAATTTGGTGCATGGAAGTCAAATTTGCTCGACTAACCGAACGGTCGAACATATCTTATGTAAATAATATAGCTACATATTATCTTTTATGTTTATGGGAGTCCCTAGCGAGAAAGTTACTGCTCAGATCTACATACATACATACATATTATAGTTCCTACTAATGGTACAGCTTCCATGCAAATGATTTCAAGGAAATATTTCAAAGGATAACAGTTACATTCCGTAATCAAAAGAGTTCTTTGATGAAATTGTCATTGTAGTAGCATTTCCCTTATGTACATAAATCAGTACTATAGTAAAAATAGTCAAGAGATAAGCAACTTTATTTTTATCAAATCAACAATGCTGTGTGTACGTACTGTTCTGTGCATGGAAATGATATTAATATTAATTAAAATATATAAATAACAGAATATTAGTCGATTACATAAAATAAATACTACAAGAAAAACTACAGAAATAATACAAGAAAACTGCCTCGTTCGTCGAGTGATCGCAAGTGCGGTTCGGGCAAAGTATTACTGGGTTATTAAAATTCTTAGTAGTAGCACGGAGTCTGGAATTGGGCCTGGTATATGGCAATAGGCTCATCCCCTCTTACATAGGACTCATAACATAAATAGTGAAAAGTGGGTGTTACATTATATAGTGGCATTAAACACCGAAATGTGCACCTCGGCCCTTTCGGGGATAAAAAGGCGTGATTTTATGTTATGTATGATATGTTGTGTATGATACTGAGGTAATAGGTATAAGATAATGTTACTTACAGTTACACAACGACTGTATGTACCATGCCTTATAACCCACAAGAATTTCCTTGTCCCATAAAAACTAGAATATCACTCAAAGCCCTCTCACCACATGATACGTCCCTACCTTTTATATACTACCTACATTATACCTCTATGACTTAGTCGTGTTTCGGTACAGGCATTAAAGCATGACCAAACAAAAAAGGATTACTGCAAGCCAAATGGCACTTCGCGAGAAGAGGCTTAAGTCGCTGTGGACCGGAGTGAATGCAGGGGTGGACTCAGGTAGACATTTGACCTCTCGTCCTAGGTGAAGTACTTGGGTGAAGAAACGACGAGTGTTTTTGTACAAAAGGAAGCAACGCGTTGTATGATGTCTTGAGGTCAAAATTTTGCGTTGAATATTTTCTACACAATTTTGTACTAAAATCTTTACTTAAAAGGACTTAAAAAGGTACATAACTATAAAAATTTTGATTGCATTAAATCATTTACTGATCCAATTAATCCAGATGTAACCCTTTTTTTAATTTAGTCTGTTTGTTTGCCTGCATCTACATGTCTAAATTCTTCTTACGTAAGAGAATTTACTAATTTACTAATATTTTGTTTCTCAATCACGCCAAAATAGCTGAAGGGATTGGTATGAAATTTGGTACCAGGATAGATTATAATTTGAAATAACACATCCTTTTTTTTATAACATAAGCCGGTAAACGAGCAGACGTATCACCTGATGGTAAGCAATTGGCGCCGCCCATGTATACTCGAAACACCAAGGCGTTACAAGTGCGTTACCGGCTTTTGGAAATTGGGAATTCAAGGATTTTGGAGGATTCGGAGATTCGGGAGGGGGGGATAAGGGAGGGGGGTAATTGGGCCTCCGGTAACCTTACTCACAAGACGAAACACAACGCAAGCAATGTTTCACCTCGGTTTTCTGTGAGACCGTGGCATCATTTCGGTCAAGCCGGGCCGGCTTCGTTTCGTGACGAAACATGGCTCTCCCACACTTATAATACTTATTATTGGTACTTTTTATATAATGGGCATGCGGGCAAACCCGTGGGCAGAAGCTAGTATTTGAATTTACAAAGCACTGTCACCCTTTCACTTCATACACCAATATATCGCTATACTCACGTATGACTAAAGAAGCGAGGTAATGCTTTAATTGATGGCAGTCGTTAGTACATGCGTAGCGTTACTGTCTTGACGTCAAAAGCCAAGGGTCGGACGTTTGTGTCTCCTTTGTGTTAGAAATTATTTATGTTATTAGCTTTAGGTACGAAGTTTCTTGGTGAAGAATGGGGCACTTGATTTTATTGGTTGTGATTCGTCTTGTTATTCTGTTTACCTAGATTTTGTTGTAGTTACGAAACTGAGAATTTAGTCGTTGGTAGTAAGTCGTGGTTGGTAGGACCTTGCATTTCATTTCTCTTAGACAAATGGTACATTAACACTAGTCGAATGAGTAAGTGCAAAAGTCTACATATTAAATTGACATTTCAATATCATCATCATCAACAGATTAATTATTAGTGGCCACTGCTGACCAATGGTCTTTTGTCACACCGAAAAGGTTTGAACATTGATCGCCATACTTGCTCAATGTGGGTTAGCATTTTCAAATTCATATTAGAAAATGCAAGTTTCGATTTTCTTACGATATTTTACTTCATCGTTTGTCAGTGGTGTCTAAATAATCTTAGAAAGTACATAACACTCGGAAAAGTCACGTCGGTACTTTCTGTTGGTAGATTTTGAACCACCGTCGTCAGGCCACGACGACTCGTCACGAAATTGACATTGATATAATTCGAGTAATCAAGTTAAAGTTATGTGAAGTCCATAGATAACATGACATGCACAAGTTATATGTCCAGAGTTAAAGACGTGTAAGTAGTTGTATTAAAACAAAACGTAAATAAACAGCTTCCTTATTGAAAGAAGCAGTGATTTCTTATTATTTGGATAAAGTATTCTGCGAGAAAATATATTTTTTTAAACATCTTTTTCTTTTTTTATGGAATAGGATGCAGATCAGCAGACGGATCACCTGATGTTAAGCGATCAACGACTCCCATGGCCGCATACCAGATGAGTCACAGTTCATTTTAAAAAGGAATACTCTCTTTTCTTGAAAGTTTCTTCTAGATATATTTAAGTATCCATTTTACGGAGAGTGAACAATATTTCAAACAACTTTCAACGCATTGTTCCATTTAGGTATAAAGCTGTGATCCTTAATACCGGTTACTATTAATTACCTCCGTTTGAGCCCAATTTGGCTTACCAATTAAGGCTAGAAGGCTGTTGTTGGCAGAAATATTAGTGGGCAAAGAACTGCCAAGCAAGCAATAAATCTTTATTACCAAATAGCAAAATATTAAATGCGGAGGTACTGTTGACAAAATCCATAAATTATTTATAGAAGATTGAAAGTGAAGAGATTGATTGTTTAAAGAAAAGTGATTGGGTGAAAATATTGTGTAAAATTATGCGATGTGGCGATGTTAATGGAACTGGTTTTTAAAAATATTATTTTGTAAACTCGTTCGTTTTGAAAAAAAAACAACAGCAAACCCCTCTTTTTTGAATTTGGTAAAGTAATATACTAGAATCTTCTCCTAGTGTAATATACACTTTTCTGAGAACCACATCAAAATTAGTTCACCCGATAGCGACATAATCGTGCACAAACATACAAACGTATGTATACACACAGGCCAAACTAAGAATCTCTTGTTCATTTTTCGAAGTCGGTTAGAAACACTAAGACCCATTTTAAAATCAGAAATAATATCAACAAAAATTTCACTGACGGTATGACTTTCTAGTATAACATTAAATACCACAGCAAAAAGTGATTTAAGTTCTTTTTTTTTATTTGATATGTTGACGTTTGGCCACCATCTTTCCTGGTGGTAAGCGATGATGTGGTCGACGATGGAGCAACCTGTTCACTCTGGATTTGAAGACAAATTTGTAGTTCAAAATACAGTTTTATAAATTATTAATCAAATCATGGATAATAGAATAAATCAATCAATTTAAATATGCTAAGGGTCTACGGCTTATACATATCCAGTCAATTAACTAAAGCACAACGTATCCCTAACACACGCTACCAATACTTAATCAACGTTAAATTTACATAAAACAAAGGCACAAATCTAAATTAACAACAATGTTCCCGAAACTAAAGAGCTCGGATTTCGGCTGTAAAGTCGAACAATTCCAATAATCTCCGTTCAGCTAATCCTACTCTTCAACCTTTGAAACCCCTTAATTTCCGTCCCTTATAGTAAATTCAACACTATCCAACATAATTAGACCCCTCATCATACACAACAAAACCCTCAAATTATCCTAAATCGCCGTACAAAGATTACTGAGGAAGGTCATTGTAAAATGGTTGATATATATTTCTATATTAAAGACACCTGCTTCCAACTCTTTACGATGTATGGATATTGTGACGAACTAATATTACGTTTTGTTAGTTCTAATTCCGAAAATTATTGGAGTGAACGATGTTGTTTTTAGTTTAAACTGTCAAACACTGCGAGGACACCAGTGACCGCAACCTATTGTTCTTTAATTGTGTTTATAATGACGGTACTCAAAGGGTTAATACCTCTATAACATTATGTACGTATGTGAAATTGTACACGTATAAAAGCTTTTGTATCTTGTAGAAAAAAACACGGTTGTTTGTAGTTGATGGTTTGTTTTTAAATAACAACAAAGTCAAAGCATTTATTTCAATTAAACCACAATTTGGTACTTTTGAAATGTCAACAAATACAAAATAAATAATAGTCAGTCCGTCAATAAAGCTAGGTGAAGCTAGGTGCTCATTCAAAAATGTAGATTCGAATGGAGAAGAACGAGCAAGAAACCCTATTCGTTACTCTTTTTAAAAAAGTATGTTCTACAATGTATCTAATACATGTTCCAATACTGTACGTTACAATACGTAACAATTTATATTATAGCATTAGTGGGGTTCTAGCCTCTTCATTGATCCTTATTACGTAATGAATTATCAAATTGATTACAGCATCAAACCAAGTGTTCTTCCTTTTCTCCAAATTTTCAAATTCATTTTCTTCAATGAGCTAAAATTTTATATGAAAACTGCACTTCCCCTCTAATCCACCAGGAAACAAAACAAAGTCAAATTTCATTATACAATTAACAATATTACCTATATAATGCATCTAAATACATTACATTCTCCACGCAACACGTGGCCACAAATAATTTATGTTGACAATGCGTAAAACAAAATCCTTTAATACAAATAACAGCAAAATGATATTCGGTTTTGTAGGTCAACATAAATAACTATAATAATGGTTGATTTTTCCAACGCCAGTATAAATTTCCCTGAAATAACTTTGAACATTTGACAATTTTTTATTATTATTTACTTATTTTCAGCCATGACTGCCGTCCCACTGCAGGGCAAAGGCCTTCCTACCCTCCTTCCACTCCTCTCTATGTAAAGCTTTTTTGCGGCTAATCCTTGTCATAGATGTCTAATTCGTCCCGCCATTTCATTTTGGGCCTGCCGCGACGTCTACTGACAATTCTTCCATACTAAAAACTATCAAATGTCAATTATAGTCTACAGCTAAAAATTAACTGATGATTGAAAAATTGGCCCTAAATGAAGTACCTAAGTAACTATAATAAATGTCGTGGTGACCCGGAGTTTTATGACGCCCGCTTCTCATGCATGAGAGTGCGATTTCGAAACCTACCAACGGCAAGTACCAATGTGGCTTTTCCGAGTTATAAACGGTGAAGGAAAACATCGTGAGGAAACTTAGCCTTATAATTTCAAATCATCAACCTGCAATGAGCAAGCGTGGTGATGCATACTCAAACCTTCTACATGCGAGAAGAGGCCTTTGGTCAGCAGTGGCCACTTATAGTAGAGTTGATGAAAAGTGGATAAAATAAATTATTATGTTTTATAATTTGACGTCTCTTTTATATTGTATACATTTCTCAGTTAGATTAAACATGTAATAGACATAAAACGTAGATAAGTATAGCTCTTCCAAATAAACATTCTAAAAATTAATAACACACATAAATACAATATGAAAATTAGTCAGATAAAGGAGAACACAGAAAAAATTGGGAAAGCCATGCCGCGGCAAGAATGGGCCGGCTCGAACGGAGTGATACCACGGCCTCACAGAAAAACGACGTAAAACAACGCCTGCGTTGTGTTTCGTCGTATGAGTGAGGTTACCGGACGCCCAATTGGCGATAGCCCAGTTGTCCTAAAAAAACAATAATGTCAAAGGCGATTAATTAGCTAGTGGCTTTTTTTTTGAGTGGGGATCGTAGTAACGCGTTTTCGTTTTATATTGATTTTTTTTTCAAGTATTGTGCACGACTCTTTACCAACCCTTTTGTAGGTCAAATAGTTTTCATATAAGAGTAGATTTTACTTTTTACTTGACTAGTCTAAAAGGAGGGAGAGTGTTAGATTATAAGTTGTCTACTGAATAGAATTTTTTTATTTAGGATTTGTTGTTAGGAAAAAATGTCTAATCAATAATTTTGTAATTTTAGAATAAATATTATAAAATTATGAAATTAAACTTCATAATTGATTTTGTAACGAACATACAAATAAACAAATAGTTACAATAAAATCTAAACAATAATCATGTGGATATTTATAATACATATAATCAGTCTCAAAAACAACGACTTAAATTCATGTTTCCTTACTTATCTTTAACTGGAATTAATGATGAATTTCCATCAATACATCATAGTTGTCGTTTTTCAAACAGTTAAGTTTACGATATGAAATACTACAAAGAGTTTTGGCCCTTATAGTACATAAGTATCCTATTTTATTGAACATCCGATTATTTTGCAAAAAATACTATTTCACAAGGTCTGGTTAGCCGCTGTATACCAGATAAATTAAGAACGTAATTTGTATGTGCTATGTGTCACAGTTTATCTGTTACTTACGCATATGAATGTGGTAAAACGGACACTTAGTTCAGTCTTATATAACAAAGAGCTTATTCGTGTTTGCTAGCATTAGTGACAATGTGTCGTTTGGGAATAAAAAGTTAACTCAGCCGAGGTTTGAATAGAAATCTTAAACGACCAACATCTTCTATGTAAACGGTGACTTAGAAACAAAATTGAACACAACTATTTAGAAGCAACGTTATACAAATGTAAATATTATAATACTCTTTACTAATCCCTTAGAGATGAAGGAGTTAAGATCAAAAAAGAAATAAATAAACTAAATAATCTTTGCGACTGTCACTGTTGAATCAAATCTAGACATTTTATTAATGGTATCAATATTAATAACAGTAATTCATAGCAAGCATCCTGTCCTTACACACGACGAGACATCAATCAAAACTTTTTCAATAATCTTTTGACATGATTTTATGAGAATATTAGACAGCTGGAATGAGTTTACTTAGTCATGGTTCACGTCTCTCAAGTAATTAGAGGAACGCGAATATATTTCAAGTACCTTTTATATAAAGGACATGGAAACTTGAAGCCTAAGATTATCATTAATAACAGATTACTATCAAAGCTAACAAATGAGCGAAGTTGGTTTTGGAGTGCCTAGAGATTTTCCTCTGTGACCGATGTTTGGAGCATCCGACCAAAACCGCTAATCGGGAGAGCGTTAACGAAAGTTAAACAATCGTGGAAGCTACACTGGTGAGAGGAGCAATAGATTTAGAAGAGAGAAATGGACGACGA